GACAAGAAAAAGAACCAATTAAACTACCCAACCGAATCTGCGCCTAAACGTCGTCCAGATCCTTCTGCTTGAGAATCTTCTCCTTGAGATCCTCCTCCTTGAGATCCTCCTTCTTGAGATCCTCCATCTGATCCAAAAATCCTCGACAAGTCCACATCAAATCCAACACCTGCAAGCATTCCAGAAAACCCCCCAACTGGAACTTCAGGAAAAGATCCACTAGGAGCAGCCATCTCAGGTCGATATACTGGCACTTGATAAGGTGGCTGCTGCATGAATGACATGGGCGGCTGCTGCATGTATGGCATGGGCTGCGCAGGCATCAGATACACAGGATATAGAGGTTGCTGATTATGGCCAGCATACGGATATGCAGGGGAAGGCTGACTTTGGCCCGACTGTTGAGGAGGTTGACTGTGGCCTGATTGTTGGGTTCCCGGGCTATATGGTGGTTGTGGCTGAAATCTTTGAAAAAACCATGCAAACAACTGATTTTGCTTGTTCTCTAGGTCCGAAATCCGTTTATTATTATTTTCGTCTCTCATTTTCAACTCATTATTTTGAGTCATTAGCAACGCCATTGAACTCTTAGATGATCTCCTAGAGGAAATTGATGTAGAAGATGCAGAAGATGCATAAGACACCATATCAGGAGTCACACCATAACCGTATCCTCTGACTCTATTATACCTCTCAGGACCCATAGTATCAACATAAACTTGGGTCCTAAGATCTTCATTATCGTCTTGGCCCGACTCAATCAATGTTTGCAGGTTGCTCTCCGTTGTTGACTTGCATTACAATTTTTAAAAACAAAAATTCAATCGTAAAACAGAAAAATAAGCTATAGATAATAAATACTAATAAAATCAAATACTAACACGAAAAAATCAATTACCCATGTACGCTCCGATGTTTCATCAATCCATGTTTTATCTTTTCGTGTATGACATTCACGAAAAAAGGTTACAGGATCTGCTTCTTTCCCATGCTTCTTCCGCTTTATCAAAAATAAAATTTCATACAAACAAATTAAGCAAACCTCATACTAAAAATAAATATAATTATTTAAAATTAATCATCTCTTGAAAATGTACAATCCATACATATTCTTCCCGCACTCTTGCAAAGGATTTTGTACCAGTAGTATGGTTCATTGATTTCAATCCCCGATTAATCTTATTTTCTTCAGCAACCTCCTGAAAAAAAACGAACGAAAAAAGAAAAGATTATATTAGGCAACTTTAAAGTTATAACGAAATAAATCGTGTAGGGTTTACCTTTGTTTTGTCTCTATTCCAATATGCCAACAAATCATTCCACTGGGTAGGAATCACATCAGGAGGAGGCTCGCTGCGCACCTGTTCTGCTCTTTTAGTATAATACTTTTTTTTTTACTTATTTCTAAACTCTTTGTGCGCATGCTCCGCAATCTTAAGCGTCATATGACGGATCAAAGGCATTTTTACTATATCTGCATCTTCAAAAAAGATACTTCCCTACATACATAAAAACAAAAAACAAAAAAAATCACGCTAGTCAAATATTATTACAATCATTGACCTATTCTTCTATTTTCAACTAAAAATAAAAACATCTATATATACCTTTATTCTATTCCAGAAAGCTTCCTTATCTTCTTCCGTAACCTTACGCCAATCTTTCTCCAACGGAAGATTTCTATAGTCCCTAACCTCCGCTGCTACATGTTTTGAAAAAGCACTAGCGTTATCACTAATGCATTTTCCGGACGAATCAAACGAACAAAGCTGTTTCGTCCATTTAGGAATTGAGGGTCCACGCCTCCGTTGAGATGTACCTTGTTAATACAAACACACAATTAAAAACTAGGAAACAAATGTATATTTTCAGATTAGCAATAATAATCGTTCAAACACACAAAAAAAAAAAAAAAAAAAAAACTGACACTCATAACAATTCAAAAAAGAACCAGCATCACCCTCGTCCTCTTCCAAATGAAGTTCCTCAGAACGTTGATCTTCACGGGAATTATCCATTGCAAAACTTAATGGAAGGAGAAGGAAGTGGGGGAAAGAGGAAGCCAGAAATGGGGGAAAGAGGAAGCCAGAAATGGGTGATAGAGACGAGAGACAGAAGTGGAACACGGAAGTGAAGGGAGACAAAGAAATTAAATATGGATAACAACTTAGCGTCGAAATATGAATACATTACGTCGCTTAAAACCGACACAATCACTGACTAAACCTCCCCACACGTAACCTGACATAAAGCCTGCTATACTTGTCAGTGCAAGCCTATTGCGTCGCTTTAAACCGACGTTATCTTGCATAGCGTCGAAATAAGGGCCTAGTGCGTCGTTTAAAACCGACGTTAGTTTGCATAGCGTCGAAATAAGCACAGGTTTGTGTCGCTTAAAACCGCCACTATATCTGATTCGACCTATATTATAGCCTGACATAGTTTTGACTGAAAGTCTGACATGTTTCAGTCATAAATGCCTTTGCGTCGAAATAAGGTCACATTGCGTCGGTTTTAACCGACGTTAGCCTGACAGGTTTTTAATAAGAGCAAGTTTGTGTCGAAATATGAAAACTTTTGCTTCGAAATAAGAATCGTCTGACATTCAATTAGTCTCGAAAATGTATAATTTTGCCTCGATTAAAACCAGTCCAAGTTGACATGCCAATCAATTCAACCCATTCCCAGCAAAAAATACCGGGAAACCTCCCGCCCAACATAAAAATAAAATTTGTACTTCCCAAAAAAAAAGGAACAAAAACAAAAACATAAAAACATAAAAAAGTTTTACCCAAAATTTAAAAATAATTAGTTATGTTATGTCATATAATATTTTAATAAATAAATTTATTAAGTTGAATCAATTTTTTTGCACTGTAATTGTTATTTTAATTTGTTGTTATTTTGATAATTTTTTGTTGTTATTTACTAGAATGGATTAGATGAACATAATTTGAGTTGTTATGAGAAAATGGAATGAATAATATTTATAAGCATTTATGTTAAATTAACAATATTAAATATAACCTAAACTTATAATATTTAGGAATATAAGAATATATTATGTTAAATTAATTTTTTTTGCACTCTAATTGTTATTTTAATTTGTTGTTATTTTGATACATTTGATAACATTTGGTTGTTATTTACTAGAATGGATTAAACACCATTGAACCCAAATCAAAGTTGGAAGTGTGGTGATATGTAGAGTTGCTCCACATCGGAAAGTTAATTACCCTAGAAAGCTTAGAAGAGTTGAGTCACTCTTTGTATTTTAAATTGAAGATCGAATTCATTCATTGTATTCATATAGTGTCAAGGAGGGTAGTTATAAAAAATCATCTAAATCGGAGTTAAAATAACCGTTAAATCGTGATTTTTCGTTTATAACCATCGAAAAGCTTTGTCCCGTTACTTGATCTCTGAATGTTTTTTTTTTGTGATTTTTTGCTGATGTGATCTCCAAGCATATACAAACAATTTTGACGGTTTGGATCGTTGAAATTAGTTTTGGAGAATTCGTAAAACGATAGATTGACTAACACTTAGAGTTTATTTATACTTTCATTAAGTATAACATAAGATTTTGTGGTATCCACTTGTGTAAATATTTTAAATTGAAGATCGAATTCATTCATTGTATTCATATAGGGTCAAGGAGTGTAGTTATAAAAAATCATCTAAATCGGAGTTAAAATAACCGTTAAATCGTGATTTTTCGTTTATAACCGTCGAAAAGCTTTGTCCCGTTACTTGATCTCTGAATGTTTTTTTTTTGTGATTTTTTGCTGATGTGATCTCCAAGAATATACAAACAATTTTGACGGTTTAGATCGTTGAAATTAGTGTTGGAGAATTCGTAAAACGATAGATTGACTAACACTTAGAGTTTATTTATACTTTCATTAAGTATAACATAAGATTTTGTGGTATCCACTTGTGTAAATATTTTAAATTGAAGATCGAATTCATTCATTGTATTCATATAGGGTCAAGGAGTGTAGTTATAAAAAATCATCTAAATCGGAGTTAAAATAACCGTTAAATCGTAATTTTTCGTTTATAACCATCGAAAAGCTTTGTCCCGTTACTTGATCTCTGAATGTTTTTTTTTTGTGATTTTTTGCTGATGTGATCTCCAAGCATATACAAACAATTTTGACGGTTTGGATCGTTGAAATTAGTTTTGGAGAATTCGTAAAACGATAGATTGACTAACACTTAGAGTTTATTTATACTTTCATTAAGTATAACATAAGATTTTGTGGTATCCACTTGTGTAAATATTTTAAATTGAAGATCGAATTCATTCATTGTATTCATATAGGGTCAAGGAGTGTAGTTATAAAAAATCATCTAAATCGGAGTTAAAATAACCGTTAAATCGTGATTTTTCGTTTATAACCGTCGAAAAGCTTTGTCCCGTTACTTGATCTCTGAATGTTTTTTTTTTGTGATTTTTTGCTGATGTGATCTCCAAGCATATACAAACAATTTTGACGGTTTGGATCGTTGAAATTAGTTTTGGAGAATTCGTAAAACGATAGATTGACTAATACTTAGAGTTTATTTATACTTTCATTAAGTATAACATAAGATTTTGTGGTATCCACTTGTTATTAGGGTGTAAAACATTCATTGCATTCGTATAGGGGTGTAAAACAATTAAATTAATATATAATTATTTTAGTTTTTAGGGGTGTAAAACAGTTAAATTAATATATAATTATTTTAGTTTTTAGGGGTGTAAAACAGTTAAATTAATATATAATTATTATTATTAGGGGTATAAAACTACAAATAATAAAAAATAATTATATATAATTATTATTATTAGGGTGTAAAACATTCATTGCATTCGTATAGGGGTGTAAAACAGTTAAATTAATATATAATTATTATTGTTTTTAGGGGTGTAAAACAATTAAATTAATATATAATTATTAATATTTAGGCTATAAAACTGCAAATAATAAAAAATAATTATATATAATTATTATTATTAGGGGTAATGCATATGATTGACAACAAGTATCTTGCGTCGAAATAGTCTCATATTGCGTTGAAATAGGCTAGGGTTGTGTCGGTTAAAACCGACGCCAAGTCTGACACACATGTCCTAAGGTTAACATTGCGTCGAAATAGGCTGGGGTTGCGTCGGTTAAAACCGACGCCAATTCTAACATACCTGAAAAATGCCGTCGGTTAAAAGCGACAGAAAACAAGGAAAAAAAAAAACAGAAATATAATTTTATGATACGATATCATAGCATACAAAATAAAACAAAGTCTAATTAATACAAAAAATAATTAACAAAAAATAATTAATATATTTATTCCCTGTCATCATCTGTTAGCTCTTCGTCGGTATTGGCATGATTAACGAACCCGGTAGGCAACGCTAATGATTCAAGAAAGAGAGTCTCTTCCACGCCAACCCTTGTATGAAAATTTTCATTATCAAGAATTCGATCATCCAAGTTCGGCGTGTCATAATCATCAATAGCATCACTATCCTCTAATACGTCAAATAAATCTCTTGGCTGAGTTCGAACAACTACGTGCCAATCTTTTTCAATCGTGTCCTCCACGTAAAATGCCTGTAATGCTTGTGATGCTAGTATGAAAGGATCCTCTTTAAATCCCAATTGATTGAAATTCACCATAGTAAATCCATATTGATCAGTCTTCATTCCTCGTGGACTTTCACTATTAACCCATTCGCACTTAAATAACATCACAGCTCGACCCCTATCTCCTGCTTCAGTAGGACCACAATATTTGACCTCGAACATATCTACAACTCTGCCATAACAATTTACTTGCCCAATTGCTCCAGGAACATTTGCAGGTACAAAGACACCACAGTTTTGATTCTTATGCTTATCATCCACAGATTTTATACGAAATCTAAATCCATGAACAATGTGACTTTTGTATCTGCTCACAACCCTACTAGGATAATTAGCTAGCCAATGCAAGTCTTGAGATATCAATGTGTCATTAGCATCATATCTTGAATTCATCTGTAATAAGTATGAAGATAAATATTGACAGAATAACTATAAACATGTTATAATTAAAATGCAAAACAATAAATAAATAATATGATTATTATATCAACTCACATGTTGCTTGAACCATTCTGGAAATTCTTTCTTGCTTAGCTCTTTAATTTGTCGCATAGTTAACCTTTCTCGACGATATTTAGTTTTCAAGAATTCTTCATGTTGCCTACACAATTATGTCCAATTTAGATAATTATTTTTTCAAAGTTAAGAAAACCAATAAAACATTAAGACGTATGATTAAACATTCTTACCTTCTAAATGGGCTAACTTCATCACAATTATTTAGAATGTATCTATGGCACTGATCAAGAACATTTAGATTGAGCTCCACATTTTCTCCTGAACCCATATAACATCCTTTCGAGTCAAAAATTGATAACCCACCAGATACTCCACGTCCAATCCCATCTTCATTTCGGCCTCTACGGGTACGACGAGACTCAACGTCTCTAAGATACATGGAACAAAATGACAAGCACTCATCCACCAAATATGCTTCAGCAATAGAACCTTCAGGATGACCCTTATTACGAACATAGCGCTTCAGTGTTTGCAAATACCTACAATTATAAAACGAAATACAAATTATTATAATTATTAATTAAAGTTATGACTACAATTGTAAAAAAATTATAAAAATTTATTCATTACCGTTCAATTGGATACATCCATCTATATTGAACAGGCCCTGTAAGCGCTACTTCATCTGCCAAGTGAACTGGGAGGTGCACCATTATATCAAAAAATGCAGGAGGGAATATTTTCTCAAGTTGACATAATGTCAAGGCAATTCTTGAATTCAGTTGCTTAAATCCTTCCTCAGACTCCTTCTTACTACATAACTGTCTGAAAATTGCACTCAACTCTAATAAAACCATAGTAACAGCTTTAGGCAAAACCGGGCGTATTGCAAGCGGGAGTAACTGCTGCATTAAAACATGGCAATCATGACTTTTCAACCCATGTATTTTTCGTTCATTCACGTGCACACATCGTGACAGATTTGATGAATATTCATCTGGGACCCGAATAGTAGACAATACTTTACAAAACGCAGTTTTTTCTTCTCTTTTCAATGTGAACAATGCTGGAGGTCGAAATGTTCTATTTCCTTCTCTACGTGGGTGTTGACTATGTCTTATGTTCAAGAATTCAAGATCTGCACGTGCCGCCAATCCATCTTTAGACTTTTCTATATCTAGCAATGTTCCCACCACACTGTCACATATATTCTTCTCGATATGCATAACATCAAGATTGTGTCTAATCAAGAGATGCCTCCAATAAGGTAGTTCATAAAAAATCGATTTCTTCTTCCACTGACTGTTACTACTTGTACTGCTCGAAGCTCTTCTTCTGCGTTGCCCAACTGAAGCATCCTTGTTTGGTTTTCCAAAAGTAAATCTCAATGTAGAAAGTTCTTCGAGACATTGTAAACCAGTCCACTGCCTTGGTGCAGTACGATGCTCTCGACGACCATTAAAAGTGATGGTTTGCCTTCGAAACCTATGATTATCTTCAAGAAATCGTCGATGCCCCATATAACAAATCTTGCGACTCGCTGGCAAGTAAATAGATTCTTTATCATGCATGCAATGTGGACAAGCTTTATAACCATGTGTACTCCATCCTGACAACATTCCATAAGCCGGAAAATCACTTATGGTCCATAACACGGCAGCCTTCATCGTAAAACTTTGGTTGGAAAACGCATCATAAGTGGGAATGCCCACCTCCCACAACTCATTCAGCTCGTCAATCAATGGACGCATGTATACATCAATCTCTTTACCAGGACTGCACGATCCTGGTATTAACAAAGACAATAACAAATTTGGTTGCTTCATGCACATCCAAGGTGGCAAATTATAAACAGAAAGCACCACAGGCCATGTGCTATGATCATTCCTCATTTTCCCAAAAGGATTAAATCCATCACTGGCTAACCCTAATCGGACATTTCGAATTTCTGACGCAAAATCCGGATATAAATTATCCAAATGCTTCCATGCGGGAGAATCTGAAGGATGTCTCATAAACTCATCCTTAGGACATTCAGTTGCATGCCATCTCATATGTTCAGCCATATGCTTCGACATAAAAAAGCGTTGCAATCGTGGTTTTAAAGGAAAATACCACATAACCTTAGCTGCGACCTTTTTCCTCGAGCTATCCTCTGCATTGGTAATTTTATATCTTGATTTACCACAAACTGAGCACACGGTCAAATCTGAAGTATCTTTCCAATAGATCATGCAATCATTGGGACATGCATCAATTTTCACATACGACAGCCCCAAGTCATTTATAAGTTTTTTTGCTTTATAACAAGATTCAGGCAAACAATCCCCTTCAGGCAACATTCTTTTAATTAACTCCAGTAAAGTGGTGAAGATCTCGTCAGGCATTCCCGCTAAACACTTGATCTGATACAATCTTACAACTGCTTCCAATTTCTTAAACTCCTTACAACCTGGCCACAAATCTTGATCTGCCTCTTCAAGCAACTTAAAAAAAGTCTGCACCTCTTCTGGACGCCCTTCCCCAATAGGGGGTTCAGTAGATGGCCCAACACATTCTTCTGTTAATGGTTGGACAAATACATCATTAAGAAAATCATGCATGCCAATCACCTCATCTCCTGTTTCTTCTTCTCCAATTCCCACATTTTGCTCTCCAATGTTTTGCTCGCCATGATGTCGCCAACAAGCGTTTTTATAATCTTTATCCATATCATACAATATGAGATGTTCAACAATGGTGTTCCTAACAAAAGAATATCGATTACAACATCTTTTGCAAGGACATCTAAACTTATCAGGACCAACACCATTTGCAACTGCTTGATCCAAAAACAAATTAATTCCAGTTGTATACGCTTCAAAATTTCGGGGTATTGTCAACCAACTCCTGTCCATATTTTACCACTTTACGAAGGTAAAATATTACGTTGACACTAAGATGCCTACAATCTTTCAATCCCTATCATGTAGGCATAACTATCAAAATTTTCAATTTCTATCTTTCACCCCTCGAACTCTATCACGATTGCAATCTTTTAATTTTCAACACCTATTATAGTAAAAACAAATTAAAATAACAACAAAAAGTTGTCAAAATTATGCTCATCTAATCCATTCTAATAAATAACAACCAAAAGTTATCAAACTTATCAAAATAACAACAAATTCAAATAACAATTAGAGTGCAAAAAAAATTAATTAATATATTCTTATATTCCTAAATATTATAAGTTTAGGTTATATTCTTATATGAAAGGTTATATTCTTATATGAAAGGATATTCTTATATTATAAGTTTAGGTTATATTCTTATGAAAGGTTATATTCTTATATTCTTATATTCCTAAATATTATAAGTTTAGCTTATATTCTTATTAGAGTGCAAAAAAAAAAAAATTTAACATAATATATTATAATATTACTCAATATTATAAGTTTATGTTATATTTAATATTGTTAATTTAACATAAATGCATATAAATATTATTCATTCCATCTTCTCATAACAATTCAAATTATGTTCATCTAATCCATTCTAGTAAATAACAACAAAAAATTATCAAAATAACAACAAATTAAAATAACAATTAGAGTGCAAAAAAAAAAAAAAAATTAACATAATATATTCTTATATTACTCAATATTATAAGTTTATGTTATATTTAATATTGTTAATTTAACATAAATGCTTATAAATATTATTCATTCCATCTTCTCATAACAATTCAAATTATGTTCATCTAATCCATTCTAGTAAATAACAACAAAAAATTATCAAAATAACAACAAATTAAAATAACAATTAGAGTGCAAAAAAAAAAAAAAAATTAACATATTGTATTCTTATATTACTCAATATTATAAGTTTATGTTATATTTGATATTGTTAATTTAACATAAATGCTTATAAATATTATTCATTCCATTTTCTCATAACAATTCAAATTATGTTCATCTAATCCATTCTAGTAAATAACAACAAAATATTATCAAAATAACAACAAATTAAAATAACACTTAAGAGTGCAAAAAAAAAAAAATTAACATAATATATTCTTATATTACTCAATATTATAAGTTTATGTTATATTTAATATTGTTAATTTAACATAAATGTTTATAAATATTATTCATTCCATTTTCTCATAACAATTCAAATTATGTTCATCTAATTCATTCTAGTAAATAACAACAAAAAATTATCAAAATAACAACAAATTAAAATAACAATTAGAGTGACAAAATTAATTAATTCGACTAAATTTTTATTAATTTAACAAAAATAGTAGAATTTTATCTAAGTGCTTAAATTATAATTTTTAAATAAATAAACTTGTGTATTATACAATTTAAAAATTAAAGAAGTTAGGGATACAAACCTGATTTGTTGAAGAATTTCGACGTCAACAATTCTTTATGTACTCAACCAACTCCAATAACTTTCCTACAAAAATAAATTGTAACTAAAAATTAAACATAAGAGGAGAAAATAAAAATATTATAAGCAAGAAAAACTTACTGTTGTGAAGAGGAACAAATGAATTTTGAAAACCAAAGGAGAAAGCTGAAAGAGAGAACAGAGGAACAAATGAAGTGCAAACCACAGGAGAAAGCTGAAAGAAGAACACGGGAGACTTTGTAAAGGTTGGAAGAACGAATAAGAAAAGTGCAAGAGAAGAAAAAGAAAACACGGGGGAGAGGGTATAAAGAGCAACAATGTGTCGCTTACAACCGACACTGGTTTTCAAAATATATGTCGCTCAAAACCGACGCAGGATTTAAAATATTAAAAACAAGAATTAGTGTCGCCTAGAAGCGACACCCATAGTTTATGTCGCTTAAAAGCGACACTATTTTATTTAAAGTGACGCCATTGCTTAAAAATATTAAAATATATGTCGGTTATAAGCGACACTAAATTTTTACGTCGGTTTAAAAGCGACATAGAAATTTTATGACGCTTATAAGCGACACTAAATACGACGTCATCTTCAGTGAGTGTCGCAAATCTCTTTTTCGCCACTATATAATATTAAACCGACGCAAGAAGTGACACTATTAGGTCCTTTTGTAGTAGTGTTTGCTCCGAAAACAAGTTTTCCCTGAGCCTGACCGCTGGTAGCTTGTGAACTAGATCCTGTAGAAGGTTGCGCATTTCCATTGGTAACTACAGGTTTCTTGTCTTTGGATCCTGAGGAAGAAGCCGGTGCTGGCTCATATTTCAAAGGTTTCCCATCCAAGCGTCTTCCAGATCCAGTAAAAGGGTTAAACTTAGGTTCAGCATCAGCAGGATCCTCTTCAACTGCAAGAAAATCAGAAACTCGTACAATTGTTTTCTTTTTGGACAGTGGAACACTAGTATGTTGAAATACATAATAGTATTCAAAATTAACAGGACTACAAACTTCGTAATTTCTGTGCCTTGAAGTACGCCTTTAGTCACCATTATATGCAAGAATGTTTATATTTTCAATTCCAGCCTTCTAGCAGAAAATGTAATAAAAAAAATATGGATTCTGTCAGTTTGTGGAATGTCAAAAAGTTGAATACAATGTGGATTCTGTCAAAAGACTCAACCCGAAAGGTCTAATAAAAAAAATATGCTTGTCAACTGTAGCAAACAACGCAGAAGGTCTTAAAAAAAATCACGGGGATGGCAAAGTGGCGGTGAACTTGGTTAATCTCAGGCATTTACCAAGTCTAGCTTCTTCCTTATTGAATCCCCTAGCAGGATTTTTCCATCATTATCTGTATAGCCTCTAGAAGTATGTGCATCAATTAAAATGTATAATGCCTACGTCTAAATACACAAAACATTGAATTCCATTACCTTGTTGTTATTGACCTGTCAGAATCGCCAGAGCTTCGAAACCATTGTCCAGAACTGTGGAGGAAGAGACAGTCGACCAGGATCACGTGGCCTTCACGCACCTGCGGCCGGAGCTGAAGAGGAGGGTCAGAATTATAATATATCATATTGATGGATTCTCAGACATTTCTGGAGAACTAACGAAATTGAAGAACAATACTTAGTTTTGAACAAAATTGACTTCCAGATGAGTAATTTAACAGAAAAGAAGCAACCCAAAAAACCCAGAAATCTTTAATTGAAGAACAATGCTTAGTCTTTGAACAAAATTAACTTCCAGATGAGTAATTTAACAGATAAGAAGCAAAAAGAAACCCAGAAATCTTTAAAAAAAAATTGTCTATAAGAACTGAATTTACACCACCATTCATTATATGACTAAATGCAGGCTACACAAATGTCACTGGAAAATCAAGGGCAACTTTATTCTCTAAAAAAGCAAAAAGTAATATAATTCCAAACCAAACAAATCAAAAACAGGACACGAAAATAAAAATTTCATCAATTTGTTTACTAAATCCGTTTTTCTGATTTCATTTCGAATTCACTGGGGGATAAAAATACATAAATCTATCGAAAAAATACCCGCATAATGGAGTGAAACATATTGAATGTCATTGCCTCCCAAATCAAATGCGTTGTTGTTGATCTGCTGGTATTAACAATGACTGAATTTTGAATCCAAATATCTGAATTGAGCTTCTGATCGTACAGTTTTTCATGTCATTCCAAAGTCCATGCATTTTCTCTTTTACAACAGAATCCAACTTTGACTTCCAGATCCTACCTTTATTTTTCAAAACTCCATTTCAGTAGTTTTCCTAATGGTACTCTTCCGCCAATTTGTCTATATTGGAACTTATTAGTTATAATAGTGTCTTGTTCCTCAATAAAATAAAAAATAGTGTAGAGTGTCACATACAGTTGACTGCTAATTAAATTCGTACTTGCAGAAGGACTTCATCAAACAGGAGTTGCAAAATAATGCAGTTCCTATATTACTGGTGTGATAATTTTCTATCTCCAATTTGTGCTTCTATTTTCAGTTTAATGTCTGCTGTGTGGAGAAGAGGCGTGTATAAGTGCAATATCTATTGATTCTGGTCCTAAATCACCTTAAGATTCTTGGACCAAGTTGGATATCTCTTGCATTTGAGTTCTGTAGCAATTACTTATCAGCGAAGCTGTATCTGCTAAACTTATTGGTGGCATATACATCAGTGATATTGCAAATACATATCCATCTTTACTTAACAATCAAGCACCCTTTGATCAGAAGCTGCTTCGATGTTTTTTTATTAGTCTAAGTGTTAGTATACGAAGCATTTCCCAGTGTCAACACAAAATGTTCTCTCGTTTCAGTTTTTGTGTGTGATTGTTCACTGAGAGTAGGGTTTTTTTTCATGACTATATGCAACTATGTTCTGAAATTTCTGTATTAAGAACATAAGCTTTGTGATAAAGTGCCCTCTCTTACTCTGGTTTTTTTCAATCGGGTGTTATTCATATGGTGTTTCTCCTGTGTAGATTTTTAGTAATCCTTCAATATGTGTGTGTTTTAGCCTTCGATTAATGGTTAGGTGATGAAGATCTGTCAGCATTTCAACTGAGAGATTACCTGAAGAGCGGAAAGTTTCAGCAAGCGAGAATAGAGATGAAGCCCCCATCCCTCTAGCCCTAGCCCCTCACTTGACACGCCATATCAAATTATCCATTGTAGATCTATCTCAGCCATTTCTCCATACTTTCAGAGCAGAAGCCAGAGACGCCAAAAAACCCTCAAATCTTCAAACCCAATTCACTCGCCTCTAGAAGTTCAATCCTTTTCCCAATTCAAGGGTCCAACTTCTTCTCCTTCTTCTTCCTCCTTGTCTCCCTCCTATTTTTGTACGGTTTTGCAGCATCGAGAAGGCGGAGGAGGTAGACTACCACTGGCCGAGTTCGACGACATTCAAGTGTAAAAGAGAAGAATATGTACGTGTGTTTATCTACTTTATGAACATAGTGATATTTTGTTAAATTGCAACATTAAATAGATAGTCGTTAAATTATTCTTTGTGGGAACACTTATTGAAAGATACAATTCTTTTATTTAATAAATAAGTTGCAAGTACCAAAGAACAAAGTAGAAAGGAAAAAACATCACATTATATATTAGTACAATCAAACTTCAGAAAAAAAAAATCTTTTGAAACGAGCCACTTTCAGGGCAATTGCTAGTGCTACCTTATCTTTGATGTCATCCAAGAGTTGAAAATAAGCATACCTCCACGATGTTTTTAAGATCAGCGTGCCGCAGACGCCCCAAGAGCCTACGATAAAGCCAAGTACCATGCTAACATAGAACCACAACTTATCATTTCCTTCTTCATTCTTGTCCTTTGCATCCTTAGAAGTAAAAGTGTCATCTCCAGGGCACTTAGTTGAGAGAGGAAGGCCACATAGCCATGGATTGCCCGTATAAATGGATGGAACATTGAGCGTTTGAAGTTGATTTCTAGAAGGAATTCTTTCGGACAAATTGTTGTAAGACAAGTCCAAGTGGGACAAAGAGGTTAAAGATGACAAGCTTTGAGGAATCTGTCCTGAGAGGTGGTTGTGTGATAGATCAAGAGTTTCGAGCCGATGCAAGTTTCCGACCTTGGAGGGGTTCTTTCCAGTCAATTGATTCATGGACAAATTCAAGGTGCCCAATAGAATGAGGCTGCTTATTTCTTTAGGGATTTCACCTTGTAAATTATTTGATGAAAGATCAATGCTCTTGACAAGATATAGAGTCGTGTTTTACACAAGTTCTTCTCCTTTTAGTGTCAGTATGGCTTGCTCATACTTTCCATAATACTTAACATAGTAGTATCTATCATAAGTATCATTGACCAGAGATCTTAAATTATCCAAACACATGGGAATAGTACCTGAAAGGCTGTTGTGACTAAGATCGAGGATGTGAAGGCCATGAAGATTGCACATTTGATGGGAAATACATCCATTTAAATAGTTGGACCGTAATCGTAGCATTAACAACATAGATACATTTGATCCTCCTATCCATAGAGGTATGTTCCCAGATAACTTGTTAGAACAATTTTGCAAAGAATAAGGAATTTCACCGTCAAAATTGTTGTCGTTGAGCTTTAATATTTCTAGGGAACTTAGTACCCCCAATGCAATGGGAATCCTACCAAAGAGATTGTTTTGACCAACATCTAAAAACGCCATCTTGCCCTCCACACTCTATGCATGAGGGAGTTCTCCAGAAAATTGATTTCTCCTTAGAGACAAGATTTGCAACTCCAAGATGTTACAAATAGAGGGAGGAATAGTGTCATTCAAATAATTCTCATCAAGTAACAATTCATTCAAATTGGGCATCATTTGGTCAATATTTGAGGGAATTGGCCTAGAAAAGAAATTGCTTTCTAGATAAAGGGAATGGACATTAGTGAAGCCCCAAAGTGGAATTGGGCTCAAATCAATAGACTCCAAATTTGGAAATTTCAAATGGAATGGAAAGTTTCCACAAAATTGGTTGTGAGACAAGTCTAGTTGGTGGAGTTGGGAAGATATCTTCAACAACCATTCCTTTGGTATAGAATTCGAGATTCCATTACCAAGAAGAATAACAGAATACAGTTTAGTTTGAGTTTGAAGCCATACCCAAAAACCAGGACTTACCTGACAATTCAAGATCTCAATTGTGTGGAACTTGAAGGGAGGAACTGAATCAGAAGCCACGTCGAAAATGAGGGACATAAGTCGGTCTATATTTCCTACTCGGAAAAGGAAGGACATGGGTCGATCTATAGTTCCTACTCGAAAATTTTGTAATCTGGTAAGATTTATGAAATGGGTCTCTGTCATAATGCCTTCCCATGAGTTACCAGATAGAGATAGGGAACGTAGCTCATAAAGTTGTCCTATACTTTGTGGAATGGAGCCATTCATATGATTATAAGTGAGGTCTAGTGTTCTCAAGGACAACAAGTTTCCGATGGAATCTGGAATTGAGCCCCACAAAGAGTTTCCTCTAAGGTTGAGATTTTGCAAACTTTTAGACATTCCTAAAAAGACCGGCAATTGGCTTTCAAGCTTGCAAAAAAACAAATCTAGTGACTCTAATGTATTACTTGGACAATTGGAGAGACTCCTCCAAAACTCTTCAATCCCCCCATCAAATTTGTTCTTTGAAAGACTTAAGGCCTTTAGCTTGCAGAAATTTCCACTCACTTTAGGAATTTGACCTTTTAAGCCTATTTCAGATAAATAAAGGTTTTTGAGAGATTTCAAGTTTGAAAATTCACTTGGAAAAGAATCCTTGAAATCATTCCCGGATAGATCAAGTGTTACGAGGTTGGTAAGATTAAAAAACCAGCCAGGAAATGAAGAACTTTTAATGCCATTATACGACATATCAAGGACCAAAAGTAAAAACAACAAATAGGAATAAATTCAAAGAATCCCCCACATTACACTAGGAATGTAGTCCAGAAGAGATGTTACAGAGTGTTTGGATGCATGGAAAAAAATTAAGAGGTATTTCCTGCCTCAATCAGCTAAATGTTTTTATGTATCTTCTGCCATCACACATACCATGTAAGCGTTGTCGTTATTGACTGTGTTCCTAGACTGTCGACATCTTCAAGACTTCAACTATATGATGAGAAGCTAAGTTTGTATGATACGCACGAGAGAGAGAGAGAGATGCGAAAAGGTTTTGCTAATTGTGAGATTTATATTGTTGTTAAGTACTTTCGGTCTAGTTGTATTCCTCTTCACTTGTAAATGAGAGATTTTAGGTTCGAGTCTCAAGAATGGCGAATTTGATACCAAACTAGGTTGTTCATTGTGTGGCTTAGCCAAACTCCCTCGTTCTCTTAGTGTAAAATATATTGTTGTACTAAAAAAAAAAAAAATTCCTTTTTATATATCATGATGATCATGGTATATCCGTGTACTAGTTCGACTAAAATTAGTTTCACTCAAGAATTGTGATTCCTTCTTATACAAGTAATCATACTATTCCTAGGATTACTATGATCATCTTTATGAAATATAATCCTAACTAACACCACTTTGGTTTCTTCCTGATTTAACATATGCCATGTAAACCCTAGTTTTGGACCCTGTTGGAGAATAATAAAAGAGGGAAGTGTGAGAATATGTTTAGGTTTCGTTGCTCTTATGGATTTAGGTTTGCATCTTTCAATTAGGATTTGTTTAATTTCCTGTTTTGAATTTTTCTTGTTTTCCTTTAAATTCCAAATTCCTTGTGTTGAAAAACCGATCTATTGGAAAACGAAATGAGTGACAGTTGTTCACAACCCCTTTTACAAGTTTGCAAGTCCTTTGTCGTCATATCAGGTACCTAGTTGTGATGGGTTGTAGAAATCCATATGCAACGGAGACTTTGAATTAAGGGTCTTCATGTTCCATCACAATTCACAACTTATCATCTTATTTACTGTTCTTTTCTTTCGGTAAATTACGAAAACAGATTTAGATGTATCGGGTTGGACAAGTTTGCAGTCCTTCGCCTACACCACACAGCGGAATTGTGACTAACAGTCTAAAATAATCATTGTTACACTTGTTGCTTTCTTATTTGTTTTTCACAATACAAGAAATTTTCTATGTACTTTTCCAAATTTTAATGAAGCCGTGTAGAAGCAGATATAGTGAATGCATGACTGAGATGGCTAGCCGTGGAAATTCATATATCATAATTGGTGAAAGGGATTGGAAGAAACAAGAAAGAGGCAATTGGCAATCCCAGTGAGGATGACTTGCTATTTGCGGTATTTTAAAAAAAAATATTAGCGATATTCTAAACTAATTTATCTATAAATTTGTTCATTGATTCACATGCATTTACGAAATTGCAAGAGAGATAGACAAAGATAGAAGCCCTAATCCCTAGCTCTGTTCGTACCTTTTAGGGTCCTTATCGTTTGGCTCAACTAGAGGAAGGGACGTGATTTATTCCATTTTTCTCCCTATTTGCGTCCATACCAAGAATCGTTCCTTAAATCCTAAGAATTGCATAATATGTTTGCTCAATCAAGGGGAAGGACCACTTAAACCTTGGGTCTTTTGGTGGGGTTTGAGTTGGGATGTGAGGAGCGATGGTGTGCAGGATCGCCTACGTCACTTCAGTTCCCAAACAAAAGACACTTTTTTTTATATTTGCTTATGTTGTTCTATCTAATTTTGCAATAAAATAAACTTGTCACTAAAACTTTCATTAAAAAATGGGGAAAAAAAATTAGATAATATGGTGGACATAATAGCACTCATTACTTTTTTGGATTCTTTTTTGGTGTTAGGTGGAGCATGTATTTTGTGTATAGCAATGGCTAACTTAGCGTGCTCAATCTGCTTGACTATGATAAAGTGGTGACAAAATTTGAGAAAGTGATGTCATTTCCCCCCTCAGATGCTTCAACCTATGCTTGTATTTCTGGGAAGATGTCAATGCTTGACTAAACCTACCCGTTGGGTTATTTGCAAGAGGCTTCCTTTTGGGGTTTTATACTACGTCAATCTACAGGATGCACCAATGTTTGATCGGCTAAAAATATTTAAACTCAGTTAACTGATACATCGATACAGTATAGAATTTTCGGAAGTTGCATTAGGTTTTAAAGATTGCAAGAGATTCACTCAATTCTTCGATACATCGATACAATAAAGAATTTTCAGCAGTTGCATTGAGTTTTAAAGATTGCAGGAGACCGGGTGAAATGGTTGTCTTCTAACCTTAGCTTTTCTACTCAAAATGCATTTTTACGAGCATTCCCGCCACATGAATTGTTGTCGATGAATGTGATTAGATTTGTCTGCTACTTAAATCTCAAAACCTAAACTAAACCAATCATAATTAATGTAGCCATTAAGGATCGTGAGCAAAATGCACTCTTCCATGCAACTAGTAACATAATAGAAAGCAAACCAAAGACTCTTCATCAAGAAAAATTATTGAAACATTACTAGAACATATCCACATGGTATATATAACAGACTCACATATTATATTATGAGTAGACGATCCAATTCATACTTTAGAATATAACATTCATAATCAATCCATGCACTAAAATATGAGAGAATCAGTACATCACGTGTTTGTATTACAATACACCGCAATCTCCTTTCTTCTTTCCTTGAAATGCCAAAACAAGTGAAGCCCCAACAAAATACGTGTTTATCTTCAGTCAGTGGCGAAGTCATGAATTGTCGGGGGAATGAGCAAAATTTAAAAGGGTAAAAGGTCCAAAAAATGTAGACAACCAAATCCTAAACATCAAGCTAATCATTCTAATGGCATGTTTACAAATCCGTAATCGAGTAATACTGAAATTAGTACATCACAAACACAAATAACGACAACCCCAACCAAAAGACAATACCGTGAAAAACATCAAAAGCAGAGTTAAAACATAAGACTAAATTCATTAGACTAAAAATGGTACATGGAGACTGAAAGAATAGCGGCAATGCATGTAAAATCAGGAAGTGAATTCTTATGAAATGCTAAAATGCAAACCCAGCAACCATTGACATGCCCTTGGAGCACTTGGGAAGCTGGAAATTTTATCAATCTCAGAAACGGCTCGGCAGTCAGCTCCACATACAACCCATTTCCTCTTCCCCTCATTCCAATGCGTACACATGCAAGCTCCTAATCAACTTCCCCCCAACAACAACAACAAAACCTTTCCTTTACCTGTTTTTTTTCCCAAAAAATGAAAAAAGAGACAAACAAAACCCAACATGCAGAAGAGCAGAAATATTCAATATTTGGAGATTACACAAGCATCCATGAAAAGAGAGAGAAGAAGAAGATCATGGTGTTGTGGGGGTAGGAGTAGAAAATGCAATCGTTCCGTATAGAGTGGAGTACTGAAGAAAAATTGAACAAATACACTCCATTTGTCCCCAAATCACTCATAAAACTTCACATTATTACATAAATATCATGGCCTTTGCAATCCATGACAAATTAAAACAAAGAATAGGAATAAATTCAAAGTACAATGTTTGGATACATGGAAAAATGAGAAGGAAAATGCAAGGCCAGATGCTTTTAGTTACAAACCTGATTAAATTTAAAGGGTATTTTCCTGCCTAAATCAGCCAAATGTTTTTACCCAACACTAATTAATGAAACAAACCAACTTAGAAATTACAACAAATGACAATCACCACCTATATGTATACATTGAAAAACTCACCTTAAATACATCATCACACAAACCTAATCAGATCATCAGTCACCCACATTGGCTGCTATTTCTTCACTTTAATGATTCTATGTTCTTGCTCAGCTCCTCCAGCTTCTTCATCCTTGTCTTCTCACTTTCACTCACCAGCTGCATCAAATGTAACACGACAACAAAACAATCTCAAAACCTTGAATTATGTAAACACTTTGTCCGCTTTTACTGAATCGAAATATAATGAGTGATAACTAGCATCGGTTGAGAGTTTGGACAGGTTGAACTCCTACCGGAGGTAAGCCCAAATTTTGTAGGATTGGTAAGCCCACTCTAACTCCAAACTGGCCAGACTGGTTCGAGTTCAAACCATCCATGAAATTGCAACCCTAGCTATGCCAAGTAAAAAATTGTTTAACAAACTAACCTCCATTAGCTTTGTGATAAGCTGCACTTTCTCTCTGTTCTTTTCATTGAAAGCTTCAAGTGCATCTCTGTATTCCTTTTCCTGTGACAAGTTACGAACCCAAAATTCATTATGAACCCGCACGAATTGATCCATGATTGCATATGCATAGCAGTAAACATTAACACCAAAATGTGGTAAAAATCCAAGTTGTGTTACCTTCTTCTGGCAGGTATGTCCTAGTGGCTCTAACTCTTTGTTAATCGCAGCGATCTTTCTTACGAACTTGTGAAAAATCCTTCCTCATTGGACCCGAGAGCCCTTCAAGCTCCTGGAAGTTCCATAATTTATAACAAAAAGGAAATTAATCATCTCCTAATTGCTAGCAAATGATCCAACGGTTATATTTCTGGTTTAACCAGCAGAAGATGAAGCACATGGGACACAGATATTTTCAACAAGGCATCCACAAACATAAACAAGTGACCAAATAAAACCTGACCATATGACAAGTTTGAGGGTTATGCCATATCAAAAAGTTTAAACTTTGTTGTTGAAATTTCTCAGCTAAATGTGTTCACTTATCCATAATACAATTTAAAAGGATGAAAAAATAACAACAGAACACAGAACACAGGCACTTTACCCCAATGCATCATGAGTACAAATGCATTCTAAATTTGAACCTGACTAAAAGTTGATAAAAGGATAGTACTTTTCTTATATGTATCTGTACCAGCCAAGGTCAACAAAAAAATTAATGAGCAATCCAAAAAGTAGCCAAAACCGCTTCAGCCATATGCATCATGAAACACATTCTAAGCTATCTGGACAGACTATCTAGAAATATTCTCTGATATACTGTTGCAAAAATGCCTCTCTAACAAACACAAAACATTGAATTCCGTTACCTTGCTGTTATTGACCTCTTTCTCAGTCGGAATCGCCAGAGGTTCAGAACTGTCGTCTGGAACTGTGAATGAAGACACCGTCGACCAGGTCCACGTCGCCTTCACGCACCTGGGGCCGGGGCTGAAGAGGAGAGTCAGAATTATAATATATCATATTGACAGATTCTCAGACACATGTCATCGAACACTAGTGTGCCACGTTCTCATATGCTTTCTGGTAAGATTAATTGAAGAACAATACTTAGTTTTTGAACTAAATTAACATCCAGATGAGTAATTTAACAGAAAAGAAGCTACAAAAAAAAAAAAAAAACCCAGAAATCTTAATTGAAGAACAATACTTGGTCTTTGAACAAAATTAACTTCCAGATGAGTACTTTAGCAGAGAAGAAGCAAAAAGAAACCCAGAAATCTTGACAAAATTGTCTATAAGAAATGAAATAACCTTGAACGGAGCTCGCTGCAAACAACGCAACCACTCATTAATACGTTCAACCCCATTTGCACATAAACAATTAGAAAGATTTGAAAAAAGTGAGCAAAGAAAAAGCTTAATAAACGCAACCACTCATTAATACGTTCAACCCCGTTTAATCATCATATGATTAAATGCAGGCAGCACAAATGTCACTGGAAAATCAAGGGTAGCAGCAAGTAAAAATTTCTCTATGAGCCAAACCAAACAAATAAAAAACAGGGCATGCAAATAAAAATTTCATCAATTTGTTTACTAAATCCGTTTTTCTGATTTCATTTCGAATTCACTGGGGAAAAAAATACATAAAATCAAAGGAAAAAAAAACCCAAATGAAAAAAAATAATTAGAAGCTTTCAACTGAGAGATTACCTGAAGAGCGGAAAGTTTCAGCAAGCGAGAATAGAGATGGAGCCCCCATCCTTGTAGCCCCTCACTTGAATCGCCCACCCACCCTCTGTGCAAACCCCCTAATCTCCCTCTGCAACAGACGCCAAAAAACCTCAAATCTTCAAAACCAATTCAATCGCCTCTAGAAGTGCGTTCCTTTTCCCAATTCAAGGGTTCAACTTCTTCTCTTTCTTCTTCCACCTCTCTCTCTCTGCAAGGAACAGGAATCCCAGAAAACCCTCGACGATATCGAACCACCAATTCTTCCTCCTTGTCTCCCTCCCATTTTTGTATGGTTTTGGCAGCATCGAGAAGGCGGTAGAGGTGGACTACCACTCGCCGAGTTGGACGACATTCAAGTGTAAAAGAGAAGAATACACAAGTGTGCTTATCTAGTTCGTAATGTTATTTTGTTAAATTGCAACATTACATAGGTAGATTGTATTATGCGATTGATAAGTACAAACTAGATAGAATTCTTGTATTAAATGGATAACCGTTACATAATTGTTTGTGGGATCACTTACTGAAAGATTCTTTTACTTAATACATAAGTTGCAAGTACCAAAACACAAAGTAAAAAGAGAAAAACATCACATTATATATTAGCACAATCAAACTTCAAAATAAAAACCTTTTGAAACGAGCCCAAATTTTGTAGGATTGGTAATTTGTCACACCAGGCTCAACCGTGCTCACTCTAACTCCGAACTGGCCAGACTGGTTTGAGTTCAACCCATCCATGAAATTGCAACCCCGCTATGCCAAGTAAAAATTTGTTTAACAAACTAACCTCCATTAGCTTTGTGATAAGCTGCACTTTTTCTCTGTTCTTTTCATTGAAAGCCTCAAGTGCATCTCTGTATTCCTTTTCCTGTGACAAGTTACAAACCCGAAATTCATCACGAACAGACACGAATTGATCCATAATTGCATATGCATAGCAGTAAACATTAACATCTGAATGTGGTAAAAATCCAAGTTGTGTTACCTTCTTCTGGCAGGTATGTCCTAGTGACTTAAACTCTTTGTTAATCGCATTGATCTTCTTACGAACTTGTGAAACATCCTTCCTCATCGGATCTGAGAGCCCTTCAAGCTCCTGGAAGTTCCATAATTTACGACAAAAAGGAAATTAATCATCTACTAATTGCTAGCAACGGATTTAACGGCTATATTTCTGGTTTAACCAGCAGAAGATGAAGCACATGGGGTACATAAATTTTCAACAAGGCATCCTCGGACATATATACTTGTCCCAGACATAATCAAATGACTAAATAAATCCTGATCATATGACAAATTTGAGGGTTTTGAGAAAGAAGAGAATCTGTTTTTTGCCATATCAAAAAGTTTAACTTTGTTGTTGAAATTTCTTAGCTAAATTCCATATTTTGTTGTGTACAGAACCCCAGATTTACTGTGTTAGCTGAGACAAACAGATAATTAATTCTCTTGAAAAAAAAAATCTGGGAATCAGTAAAAAAATGGAATACTTCCATCAAAGAGTTCATGGCCTTTGTAAATACATTAAACCGAAAATTCAAAATCAAAAATCCAAAACAAATTAAGTTGGAAAAAAACCCAAACAGAAAATATTGTAGCGTTCAAATGCATTGCTACACAAATCAAAAATTTATTTTCTATGGCTATGGCAGTTTTCTTCATGTAATGAAAGTCAACAACATTTAAATACAGAACTCAAATAAATACGGTAAAATGATACAAAGAATGACATAGTTAAATGGATTTAATTTGGAGATCTATGAGATTAGAGAATGAAGTGACTGAATTTAGAAAACCCACACTGCAAACTTTTTTTCTGCGCAATGAGAAAATATAATTATCCAGCAGTAAAAAAATTATTAGCGTCGGACCAAATGCGGCTCGAAAATTGTTTTACTGACAAAAATTCATAAATTATTCACAAAAAAACTCTTACAAAATCGATATTAAATTACATTTGAATATGAATGAGGATAAATGGTTGATACTCATAATTGTGTTCACTTATCCATAATAAAATTTAAAACAAATAACGAAAACTGATTATTGAAAACAAATAACGCACAAATACCTGTCAATCTATAAAATAAAACCAATCAATACTCGATACCAAAAAAGGTAAAACTACAAAAGATAAAGGTCAGTCCTTTGCAAAACCAACCATTGCATTTACCAAAAAATGAAATAAAAACAAAATCTAACAACCAAAAAAGAAGTGTATATGCAGTAGAAAGCTTGTAAGAGTTCATTCATCGGCTAAAATTCAAAATTTCAGATTGACCAATTACACCATTTCTATAAAATTTCAGTTATGGGATTCCTATTGAGCAAAATTAATATGTTAGGATAGAAACAAGTTCTTACATATTTCAATAAATCCATAAAAATGGTTCCTTAGTTAACAATAAATGTTTTTTTGTACCAAAAATGAAGCAATGAAATAAATGTTTTACATGTGTCATTTGTGTGTCCTCGGCTCTCTCTCTCTCTCTCTCTCTCTCTCTCTCTCTCTCTCTCTCTCTCTCTCTCTCTCTCTCTCTCTCTCTCTCTCTCCCTATGGCTTTCTTACTACACATAAATATCCCTAATTAAAGCATGCCACACATCAGCACATTGCTATTATATGAAGTATATTCCTTATTGGCAAGTAATATACCCTCCTTGGCCCAAGAGGATATGAAATTGTTGAGTACATTGTTCTAGCCATTTGGTTCAATAAGCCCAAGTTTGCATTGTACAAAACCCTAAATACTCAGACATATGAAATCCAATCTTCCACTTTACAAATCACATATGGGTAAAATAATAGCTCTGAAGAAATCAGAAGAAGTAAAAGGCTTTAGAACGCAAATATACCTGAGGTGCCAAAATATGGAGTTGAGGAAGCGTTTTCTTCTTATTTTGGGGGAAGAAGAATGCAGCTCTGAATTTGGACCCATTTTCTTAACAAGCGGTTCCTATAGCCCATAAATTTTTAGTGTTGTTCAAAATCACAAATACCCCAGATGAATTCAAAAACTGCAGAGATTAGTCAAAAACACCTGAACGGCACCATATTAGCTGTACTAAATATAACAGTTGTTGAGAATATCACATTTAAGAATGGTAAAAACAGATCAAGCTCCGGAAATCGAAAACAAGTAACCAAGACAAATCAACACCAAGAATTAACGTGGTTCGGCAATACGTGCCTACGTCCATGGGATAGCAACAACAATCTTTCACTACATCAATAATGAGTACAACCAATAATCTTGCCAAATCTCTAGAACTAGGACTTGACGAAAAACCTGAAAGAACAGGAACAAGAAATACACTATCTCTTTTCTTTTCTCTCGCACACACTTTACAATATTCTCTCACTCTAATCCCTTGAGTGGTATACAATTTATTGTTTTGCTCCCCCCAATTCAAAACTAGTACAATAGCCCCTTTATATAGACATAATAAAGGTCTTCTTCAATAAGGATTATTAATCCTAATTCGAATCTAGTTATAAAACCTACTCCAACTGAGAAACTAACTCCAATTCGGAAAACAATTTAATCCTCTAAGACTATAATTCCTTATACTCTTAGGACAACTTATCATGGGCTGGAAAAACCTAACAGCAGTACCCCAAATTTATGGTGCTATCAAATTTATGTATATAAATTTACGTATATTTTTTAATGACACTAAAGATTAATTCTGAACTTATGGTACTATCAAATTTATGTATATAGCATACCTATATTAGTATGATTCTAATTTACACCTGCTTCTTATCAAAAAATTTATAACATAAATTTCACCATGTATGCTTAAAACGCAAAAATTTTCGTTTCGTTTTGTAAATTACAAATAATTCACTAATACTTCATACATGGAGCGGCGAACCACTTTAGTTGGGTTCTCTTGGCACAGATTTGAGTTAGAAAGTCAGGAGAATTCTAAAATCAGCATCAGACACTTTAGAACAATTTGACAAAATAGGGTGTGGATGTGTTCTAATATTCCTTTCAATAAACAACAAAGAGCTATCCCCTAGATGAAAAAATAACCAAAAAAAAAAAAACAGTTGCTATTTGTACCTGACTAAAACGTTATCCCCTAGCTATTTTACCCCAATGCCTCAAGAGTACAAATGCATTCTAAATTTGAACCTGACTAAAAGTTGATAAAAGGCTGGAATTTCGGGTCTTCTTTCACTTCCGGCTGCTTCTCGTTCTTAGTCTCTTTTGCAGCTTCCTGCAGAATTGAATAGATAAAGAGTGATTTACGATCAGCATCACATCAAACTGGCAACGTTTGTAAAATAATTCCAAAGTCAGTTGATGGAAGTCATGAAACAAGAGAAGCAAGAGTACCTTTTTTGTCTCCATATGCACATTCAACCCCATATGCACATAACAATTTGAAAGATTTGAAAAAAGAGAGCAAAGAAAAAGCTTATATAAATCATCATATGATTAAATGCAGGCTGCACAAATGTCACTGGAAAATCAAGGGTAGCAGCAAATTTCTCTAAAAGCCAAACCAAACAAATCAAAAACAGGGCACGCAAATAAAAATTTCATCAATTTGTTTACTAAGTCCGTTTTTCTGATTTCATGTCGAATTCACTGGGGAAAAAAATACATAAATCCATAGAAAAAAAAACCCAAATGAAAAAAAATAATTAGAAGCTTTCAACTGAGAGATTACCTGAAGAGCGGAAAGTTTCAGCAAGCGAGAATAGAGATGGAGCCCCCATCCCTCTAGCCCTAGCCCCTCAATTGAATCGCCCACCCACCCTCTGTGCAAACCCTAGACCCACCCCCTAATCTCTCTCTGCAACAGACGCCAAAATACCTCTCCATCTCTCTCTCGGCAAGGGACAGGAACCCGGAAGACGCCATCAAATTCTCCCACCTCTCCCTCTGCAAGGAACAGGAATCCCAGAAAACCCTCGACGATATCGAACCACCAATTCTTCCTCCTTGTCTCCCTCCCATTTTTGTATGGTTTTGGCAGCATCGAGAAGGCGGTAGAGGTGGACTACCACTCGCCGAGTTGGACGACATTCGAGTGTAAAAGAGAAAAATACACACGTGTGCTTATCTAGTTCGTAATGTTATTTTGTTAAATTGCAACATTACATAGGTAGATTGTATTATGCGATTGATAAGTACAAACTAGATAGAATTCTTGTATTAAATGGATAACCGTTACATAATTGTTTGTGGGAACACTTACTGAAGGATTCTTTTATTTAATACATATGTTACAAGTACCAAAACACAGAGTAGAAGGGGAAAAACATCACAATATATATTAGGGCAATCAAACTTCAGAATAAAAACATTTTGAAACGAGCTACTTTTAATGCAATTGCTAGTGCTACCTTATCTTTGATGTCATCGAAGAATTGAAAATAGGCATACCTCCACGATGTCTTTAAGATCAATGTGCCGCAAACGCCCCAAAAGCCTACGATAAAGCCAAGTATCACGCTGACATAGAGCCACAACTTATCCTTTCCATCTTCATTCTCCTCCTTTGCATCCTTAGCAATAAAAGGGTCATCTTCAGGGCACTTAGTTGAGAGAGGAACGCCACATAACCATTGATTGCCCACATAAATGGACGAAAAATTGAGCGTTTGAAGCTGGTTTCCAGTAGAAATTCTTCCAGACAAGTTGTTGTAAGACAAGTCTAGGTGGGACAAAGAGGTTAAAGATGACAAGCTTTGAGGAATTTGTCCCGAAAGGTGGTTGTGTGAGAGATCAAGAGTTTCGAGCCAATGCAAGTTTCCGACCTTGGAAGGGATCTTTCCAATTAATTGATTCATAGACAAATTCAAGGTGCCCAACATAATGAGGCTACTTATTTCTTCAGGGATTTCACCTTGTAAATTATTTGATGAAAGATCAATGCTCTTTACAAGATACAGAGTTTTGTTGTACACAAGTTCTTCTCCTTTTAGTGTCAGTGTGGCTTGCTCAAACACATCATAACCCGTTTCAACAGAAGTACCATTGACTAGCGAAGTTAAGTTATCCAAACACATGGGAATAGTACCTGAAAGGCTGTTGTGACTAAGGTCGAGGATGTGAAGGCCTTGAAGATTGCACAGTTGCTGGGAAATACATCCACTAAAATAGTTGGACTGTAATCGTAGCCTAGACAACTTAGATACGTTTGACCCTCCTATCCACAGAGGTATTTTCCCAAATAACTTGTTGTCTCCAAGATCAATACTCCTCAAACTTGAACAATTTTGCAAGGCATCAGGAATTTCACCGCCAAAATTGTTGTCGTTGAGCTTTAAAATTTCCAAGGAACGTAGTACCCCCAATGAAGTGGGAATCTTACCAGACAGATTGTTTTGACCAACATGTAAAAACACCATAATGCTCTCCATATTCCATGCATGAGGGAGTTCTCCAGAAAACTGATTGCTCCTTAGAGACAGGATTTCTAACTTTTGCATCTTACAAATAGAGGGAGGAATAATGCCATTCAAATGATTCTCATCCAGTAACAATTCTTTCAACTTGGGCATCATTTGGTCAATATTTGAGGGGATTGGCCCAGAAAATAAATTGCCTTCTAGATAAAGGAAATCGACATTAGGGAAACACCAAAGTGGTAATGGACCCTTCAACTGATTATGACTCAAATCAAGATACCTTAAATTTGGACATTTCAAATGGGATGGAAAGTTTCCATGAAAGTGGTTGTAAGACAAGTCTAGATGGGTAGGTTGGGACGATATCTTCAACAACCATTCCTCTGGTATGGAATCCGAGATTCCATTACCACGAAGGATGACATAAGATAGTTCAGTTTGAGTTTGAAGCCATACCCAAAAACCAGGACTTATCCCACAATTTCCGATCCCAATTATGTGGAGCTTGAAAGGAGGAACCTTGTCATAAGCCCCGTCGAAAACGAGGGACATGGGTCGGTCTATATTTCCTACTGCAAAATCTTGTAATCTGGTAAGATTTATGAAATGGGCTTCCGTTAGAATGCCTTCCCATGAATTATCAAATAGATTTAGGGAAACTAGCTCACAGAGTTGTCCAATACTTTTTGGAATTGAGCCGTTCATCTTATTATCACTGAGGTCTAGTGTTCTTAAGGACGACAAGTTTCCGATGGAATCTGGAATTGAGCCCAACAAATTATTAGAAAAGAGGTATAGTATTCTCAAGGACGACAAGTTTCCGATGGAATCTGGAATTGAGCCCCACAAATTGTTTGCTCCAAGGTTGAGATTCTGCAAACTTTTAAACATTCCTAAAAAGACCGGCAATTGGCTTTCAATCTGGCAATTAGACAAATCTAGTGACTCTAATGTATTACTTGGACAATTTGAGAGACTCCTCCAAAACTCTTCAATCCCCCCATCAAAGTTGTTCCCTGAAAGCCTTAAGACTTTTAGCTTGCACAAATTTCCACTGAGTTTAGGAATTTGACCTTTTAAGCCTGTATCAAATAAATCAAGGTTTTGCAGAGATTTGAAGTTTGAAAATCCACTTGGAAAAGATTTGCTGAAATCATTCCCGGATAGATCAAGTGTTACGAGGTTGGTAAGATTAAAAAACCAGCCGGGAAATGAAGAACTTTTAATGCCATTAGACGACATATCAAGGACCAACAGTGATGTGAAGTTAATCCTCTGTAGTGAAAGTGGAAGGAAGTTAATGCTCTGCAGTGATAGTGGAATGCTTTCAATTTGGCACGAAGATAAATGTAACTCTAACAATGAAGGAAGCATGTTAATATCATATGCCCAACTGACTCCTGTGCTGCTAAGATCAATGCCTTCCAGATTAATGTATTTCAGGGAAGAGAGGTGAGAAAGCCAATTCAAATTTTTGGAAGTGAGGTGAGAATGCCAATTCAAATTCAGATTAATATCCTTCCCCCCGAGATCAAGAAAATTTAGGCTTGACAGGTTACCAAGAGAAGAGGGAATCTCTCCTCTAAATGACGCAGAAGAGAGATTGAGATATTGCAAACGTTTAAGCTCCCCAATGAACTTAGGAATTTGATTGCTATCAAACGAATTCAGGCTCAAGTCCAGGTAATTTAAATGTTTCAAGCTCAACAGAGAAGCATTTATCTTACCTCCCAAAGAAGCATTTCTCCACTCTTCATACTCATCATCGTCAGAAAAGTCATATGGATTCCGGAGGTCCATCTTCACGACCTGACCAGTGCTGTTGTTGCATGAAATACCTTCCCATCGACAGCAATCATGACCCACCCAAGACGAAAGCCGACCAGAATGATCAACAAGATGCTGTTTAAAGATGAGAAGCGCTTGTCTTTCTTCGTCAATGCATGAATCTGTCTTCACACTGCTTGAAATTTCATCACCAGCCAAACAGAAACAGAGTTTAGTAGTACTCTGCATGCAGGAAGAGACCAAAAGCAAAAGAAGCAAATAGTGAGCAATACTGAGGTGACAATGGCTATCCATTATTACACACAATTTTTTTTCGCTTTGTTGGTGAGATGTTTAGCTACTAAAATTAGTACGATATCGAATTTATAGGAAAAGATTATCGATGTAGGTAGGAGAGCTAAAAATGAAAGTCATCGGATGGAGAAAAGAAAAAAGGGTAACTGAAATAAGTGGTGGGTGTTCACAACCCCTTTTACAAGTTTGCAAGTCCCTTGTTGACACAGCTGATACTTGATTGTGATGGGTTGTTAAATTAAGAGTCTTTATGTTCCATTACAATTCACAACTTATCAACTTGCTTACGAAAACAGATTTGGATATGTTTTTATATTTTACACCACACATGCTGGTAGACTAGAATTAAGGGTCTGCATGTGGAAGTCTTTGCACACCGATTAGTCTTTGGTGGAAAATCCACATGGCTAGCGGTGGAAATTCATAAATATAATTGATGAAGGGGATTGGAAGAGAAACGAGAGTGGCAATTGGCAATGCAAGTGAGGGTGACTTAATATTTGCGGTATTTTTTTTTTTTAAATACTAGCTATATTATAAACTAATTTATCTATTAATGTGTTCGCTGATTCACATGCATTTACGAAATTGCAAAAAAGATGGACAGAGACAGGAGCTCTAATCCCTAACTCTATTTGCATCTTTTAGGATTCTTATCGTTTGGCCTGACTAGAGGATATGATGTGATTTGTTCCCTTTTTCCCACTATTTGCGTCTATACCAAGAATCGCTTCTTAAATCCACTTCAGTTCCCAAAAAAAAAAAAAAAAAACACTTTCTTTATATTTTGCTTATGTCCTTCTATGTAATCTTGCAATAGAATAAACTTGTCACTAAAACTTTCATTAAAAAGTAGACGAAAAATTAGACAACATTGTGGACACAATAGCAGTCCTTTTTTTTTTTTGGTTTCTTTTTTGGTGTTAGGTGAAAATGGAATGCTTTCTTTATATTTTGCTTATGTCCTTCTATGTAATTTTGCAATAGAATAAATTTGTCACTAAAATTTTCGTTAAAAAGTGGGTGAAAAAATCAGACAATATAGTGGACATAATAGCACTCCTTTTTTTTTTTTTTTGGTTTGTTTTTTGGTGTTAGGTGAAGCTGTATTTTTTGTAGAGCAACGGCTAACTTAGCGTGCTCAATCTGCTTGAACTATGATTAAAGGGGTGACAAAAGTTGAAAAAGTGACTTCAATTCCCCTCCTCAGATGCTTCAACCTATACTTGTATTTCGGGGAAGAGGCCAATGCTTTTGACTAAACCTAACCGTTGGGTTATTTGCAAGAAGCTTCCTTTTGGGGTTTTATATTACATCTATGTACAGGATGCACTAATGTTTGAATGGCTAAAAATGTTTAATCCAGTTATCCTGATACATAAAGAATTTTCAATAATTGCATTGTGTTTTAATCAGTGGCGAAACTAGGATTTTTAAATAATAGGTTCATAATATCAACTAAAAAAACTTCATTGAGCTATTTCATCGAGCACCTAGTAGGCACTTGCCAATTCCTGTCAACATATGCCGAAAGTTTATGCCAACATATGTCGACAACTACTATTGTTCGTAGCTTGCAGAGGGTGGGTGCACGATACTATGGAGTAATATTGAAGGTTGTCAAGGCTTTTTAGCTTAAGGTATTTCACCGAGCACATGGTGTGCACAATAGATCGCATAAGAAAAGAGAAAATGAAGACAAATGTGATAGAACAAGTAGAAGAAGAAGGTTGTAATTTAGTTTGCCTTAACTATTTATAAGGGTCATATATAATACACAAACAAATTTACATGAAGTTTTTAAAGTTATTGGGGTCAAGGGTAACCAATGACCCCATGCTGGCTTCGCCACTGGTTTTAATGATTGCATGAGATTTAGTGAAATGGTTTTCTTCTAACCCTGTTTTTCCACTCAAGGTGCATTTTTATGAGTATTACCATCACATGAATGATTGTCGATGAATGTGATCCAATTTGTTTACTACTTAAATCTCAAAACTTAAACTAATTCAATCGCAATTAATATAAATGGTAAATGGTAATGGTCATGACCATTGAAGGATAGCGAGCAAAATGCACTCTTCCATGCAACTAGTAACATAATAGAAAGCAAACCAAAGACTCTTCATCAAGAAACATTGTTGAAACAAACTAGAACATATCCAAATAGTATGTATAACATATACTATGAAAGCGTGTACGCACGAGAGGGAGACAGATGTGAAAAGATTTTGCTAATTGTGAGATATATATTGCTGTTAAGTACTCTTTTTTTTTTTTTTTCATTGAAGTACTACGGACTGGTTATATTCCTCTTCATTTGTAAATGAAAAGTTTTAGGTTCGAATCTTGTGAATGGCAAATTTGATACTAAATTAGGTTGCCCATTGTTTAGTTTAGCCGAACTCCACCATCCTTTTAGTGTAAAATATATCGTTGTACATAAAAAAATAAATTACTTTTCGTTTTTATTTATAGTGATTATCATGGTTAGGCCTGGCAAACAGGTTGTGTCTGTTGTGTTCATGTCGTTTTCGTGTAACACCTGTTATCTTAACGGGTCGTCTCGTTTCACACCTGTTATCTTAACAGGTCGGGTCACTTTACCCAACGGGTAAAGTGACCCGACCCGTTATGACCCGCTAAGAAAAATGTATTTTTTTTCTTAAACTTGCACATACCACACATTGCCACATAAATATTACTTCAAAACATTAAAGCACATTTTTCATTTAAGTACTACATCTACACTTGAAAATAAGAGTCTAATAAACAAACATCCATACACTGCTAGTCTATTACAAAATATTAAATGTGCAAGTATATGCAAAATGTGCAAGGATATGCAAAATGTGCAAGGATATACAAAATATTAAATGTGCAAGGATATGCAAAAGGATATTTAAGGTTGTGAAGCTTTTCTCAAAAGTTTAAACATTGCCAATGGAATTCAAAGCTTGAATGTAATTCCTTTTACAAAATCCTCAATTTTCATTGATCATCATGACATAAGATTTTGTGGTATCTACTTGTGTAAATATTTTAAATTGAAGATCGAATTCATTCATTGTATTCATATGGGGTCAAGGAGTGTAGCTGTAAAAAATCAACAAAATCAGAGTTAAAATAACTATTAAATCATGATTTTCGTTGATAACCGTTGAAATGTTTTGTCCCGTTACTTTATCTCTGAATGTTTGTTTTTTGCGATTTTTGGCGTATGAGATCTTGAAGCATATACAAACAACTTTGACGGTTGGATCATTGAAATTATTTTCATAGAATGCGTATCCCATCAAGACGATAAATTCACTAACACTTAGTTTATTTATAATTTCATCAAGTATAACATAAGATTTTGTGGTATCCACTAGGGTAAATATTTTAAATTGAAGATCAAATTCATTCATTGTATTCAAATAAGGTTAAGGAGTGTAGCCGTAAAAAATCATCCAAATCGAAGTTAAAATAACCGTTAAATCGTGATTTTTTGTTGATAACCGTCGGAACGTTTTGTCCCATTACTTGATCTTTAAATGTTTTTTTTTTTGCAATTTTTGACATATGCGATCTCGAAGTATATACAAACATGTTTGACGGTTGGATCGTTGAAACTAGTTTCGTAGAATGCGTATCCCATCAAAACAATAGATTCACTAACACTTACAAGTTTATTCATACTTTCATTAAGTATAGCATAAGATTTTGTGATATCCACTAGTGTAAATATTTTAAATTGAAGATCAAGTTCATTCATTGTATTCATATAGGGTCAAGGAGTGTAGCTATAAAAAATCATCAAAATCGGAGGTAAAATAACCGTTAAATCATGATTTTTTTTGTTGATAACCGTCGAAACGTTTTGTCCTGTTACTTGATATTTGAATGTTTATTTTTTTCAATTTTTGGCGTATACGATCTCGAAGTATATTCAAACAAGTTTGACGGTTGGATCGTTGAAACTTGTTTCGTAGAATGCGTATCCCATAAAAATAATAGATTTACTAACACTTAAGAGTTTATTCATACTTTCATTAAGTATAACATAAGATTTTATGGTATCCACTAGTGTAAATATTTTAAATTGAAGATCAAGTTTATTCATTGTATTCATATAGGGTTAAGGAGTGTAGCTATAAAAAATCATCAAAATCGTAGTTAAAATAACCGTTAAATCGTGATTTTTTGTTGATAACTGTTGAAAAGTTTTGTCCTGTTACTTGATATCTGAATGTTTATTCTTTTGCAATTTTTGGCGTATACGATCTCGAAGTATATTCAAACAAGTTTGACGGTTGGATCGTTGAAACTAGTTTCGTAGAATGCATATTCCATCAAAATAATAGATTCACTAACACTTAAGAGTTTATTCATACTTTCATTAAGTATAACATAAGATTTTATGGTATCCACTAGTATAAATATTTTAAATTGAAGATCGAGTTCATTCATTGTATTCATACAGGGTCAAGGAGTGTAGCTATAAAAAATCATCAAGATCAGAGTTAAAATAACCGTTAAATTGTGATTTTTTGTTGATAACCATCGAAAAGTGTTGTTCGGTTACTTGATCTCTGAATGTTTGTTTTCTGCAATTTTTGGCATATGCGATCTCGAAGCATATACAAACATGTTTAACGGTTGGATCATTGAAACTAGTTTCGTAGAATGCATATCCCATAAAAACAATAGATTCACTAACACTTAAGAGTTTATTCATACTTTCATTAAGTATATCATAAGATTTTGTGGTTTCCACTAGTGTAAATATTTTAAATTGAAGATCAAGTTCATTCATTGTATTCATATAGGGTCAAGGAGTGTAGCTATAAAAAATCATTAAAATCGGAGTTAAAATAACTGTTAAATCGTGATTTTTCGTTGATAACTGTCGAAAAGTTTTGTCCCGTTACTTGATATCTAAATGTTTATTTTTTGCAATTTTTGGTGTATAAGATCTCGAAGTATATTCAAACAAGTTTGTCGGTTGGATCATTGAAACTAGTTTCATAGAATGCATATCCCATCAAAATAATAGATTCACTAACACTTAAGAGTTTATTCATACTTTCATTAAGTATAACATAATATTTTGTGGTATCCACTAGTGTAAATA